GCTCTGCTTGTGGTGCTTCCAGGACCTGTTTGGAGATGACCACAATACAAATGGCTTCAAAATGTTTGATTCCTCCGATTATCATGGCCAAGACCTGCTTTTCAAGGATGCCACAATCCAGGTGGTGCCTGTGGGGGAGAAAACCACGTACCGTGACTGGCTGGGACTGGACTACGTGGCGTCTCTGGAAGGGACACTGTCCCAGCAGTGCTCGGGCACAGGTAGGGCCGCTGGCCAGGCAGCCATGAGAGCTCCTGGCATCATTTAGACCCCATCACCCGAAAAACCCTAAAGGAGCAGAGGGGCACTCTGGGTCTCGGCAGGCAGAGCAGCAGCCCCATTTCACAAACGATCATAGTGAAGTGTCCCAGGGGGGTCTACACAGGTAGACTGGCCATGTCACCCAAACAGATCTGCATAATGAATATAAATGCTAAAATGACAGTCCAAAAGGATTTGATGCAGAGACATTAATATCCATGGCATATAAGGAATGCATGTGTAAAGAAACCAGGGGAAAGAAAATCTGTAATAGGGCATTAAGAGGGAGGCTGGGCAAGTTCAGCAGACAGAAGCATCGCTGCCTGAGGGCCCGCACATGAGTGCCCGCCTTGACTGCTGTGTCTGTCCCCAGCCGCNAACAGCTGACACAGACTTTATCCATGTTCTCCAGATGTCCTTTATTCACACTTGTATTTATAATTTTTCATACTGCTTTTGTCTTTTTAATAGCTCTTTTAGGGCTGTAGTGATAACACGCTCAGTCCTAGGATTCTCAGCAGGGAGGGGATAGCTGTGGCATCTCCAGGACGCTGAGAGGTGGGTTAGTGAAGACATGTGCCACTCACCTATTATTTTCTTATTACCGGTGACAGAACAATAGGCTCTCTCGATGAAATTGTTTTGGTTTGTGGGAAAGGATACCCATACGACAGAGTGAGAAAGCGTTGTAGAAAAGGTTGAGAAATGCTAGCAAAACACTCAGGAATCTCATCCCCATCATCTCTCTTTTCTGGATCTTTCTTCATGTAAATCTCATGCTTCAGTTCTGCATCCGAGAACTGGTTTGGTGGAATGTTTCTGAATGTCTTACAAATGGTGTCTATCGTCACATCTTTCCCCAAACCCCGTTTGATGACTGGAGTCAATCAGTTGTCAAGCTTATGACTTCCAATCAGAGTCTCAGTGCCCCAGAATGACTTTGGGTCATCACATGTAAAGCATTTAATAGCCATCAGAGCCTGGATGGGGACCATTGTGAGCCCAGATGAAAAGCGGCTCTGCTTGTGGTGCTTCCAGGACCTGTTTGGAGATGACCACAATACAAATGGCTTCAAAATGTTTGATTCCTCCGATTATCATGGCCAAGACCTGCTTTTCAAGGATGCCACAATCCGGTTGGTGCCTGTGTTTTAGAAAACCACGTACCGT